CGGGGGGGCGCCGGCTCTCTCTCTCTCTCTCTCTCTCTCTCTCTCTGCCTTCACGGGGGGGCAGCCCACAGAGTGACACGAATGAATCATGCCGCCTTGTAGCGGAAGATTCATTCCCATTTTCCACAACACTCGCGCAACAACAGAGAGAGAGAGAGAGAACCCTCCCCGCCCTTGAATTTTGCTGTTTCTTTTTCTTTTTTCTTTTCTTGTTTTTTGAAGTGGTATCTTACTATCTCGGTTTTTTTGGGGGGGAGGTATTTTAATTTCTAAAGAAAACCAGCTCCTACCGGTCCTCCAACTTCCCGACCCCCTAAAGTCGCGGCGCGTTAACGGCCGCGACTTTTTTTATAGCTGGGCGAAGTACTGGTGGTTTAGCGGCACCAATATTCACCAGGACGCAACGATGACAAGTTTGTTGAAGTCCTCTCTGGCATTTTCAAAGTGTAGTTCTCTCTCTCTCCTTGTTCTTTCCAAAGGTCTGTTTGCATTCCATGTTTTTTCCTAGCAGGACCTTAAGGACCAACATGCATAAATGTGTACCAGAAGCCAGGCAAAACAGCAGGCACCTCTGCAGTATTGTTATTTCGGGAAAAAAATTGACGACTCCACTTGATACAAACCTGTTGAAGAACCGGACGATTAACCTGCGCTGGGGCCGAGATGACAGAGTTGGAATTCGTTGCTGCAGACACAGAAGCAGAGGCGTTGGCCGAGACTGGTGCTGCGGAGACAGTCGGTCCAACTGTACCGAACCCAGTTGACGCTGATGAAGTGGCCACCTGCGAAACATTCACATAATCAATCAACGAGCTTGTTAGTCCATGCGTCATCCACAAGGACACTGACCCGGCCAAGGCATCAATGAAAATAAAACCTACACCCCATCTGCCAACTTACTTGTCCAACTTCATGTCTCCCGGATGCAAAACACCCCACAACGTCATAATCCTCGCGGATGCAAAACACCCCACAACGTGATATTCCTGCCACATATTTGAGCATTAATAGCATGTGCAGCAATACCTCGAGAGGACGGCCCTCGCATGTGACTCGTTCGGACAGAGCTCAAACTCAATTTGCACACCAGCAACCCCTCCAGGGACCTCCCCTCTTTGCCCTCCGACCAATACAACATGTCTTCCCAGATCTAAAAGACAGTCTGAACACATCCCATTACGAAGAGCACAGGAAAGACTTGCCCCGTCAGAAAGAACAAGAACGTGCAGGGGCTCCAGTGAATGATACACAGCTGAACGTGCACTTGCCAACGTGCACTCAGACACGGCTACCCGTCTTCTCCTGAATAGAACCCTCGGTCATTACAACTGTATTCGGGGAAACTTTCAGTCCAGACTAGATGACCTGTTGAGGCTTCACTAGCAAAAACAAACGCCACAGGTGATGCAGTAAAAAGGTGGAAGCAACCAACGGATGCAAAAACTCTCTCTCTCTCTCTCTCTCTCTCTCTCTCTCTCTCTCTCTCTCACACACACACACACACACACACACACACACACACACACACACAC